CAGCTGGAGGGAAGGGATGGGACATCCAGAGGGACCTGGACAGGCTGGAGAGGTGGAACAATGCAAACCTCATGGAGTTCAACCAAATGAAGTGCTCCAGAGGTGTTTGGCCAATGCTCTCAGCACAGGGTGTGACTGTCAGGGATGTCTGTGCAGGGCAGGAGTTGGACTGATGATCCTCAAAGGTCCTTTCCAGCTCTGATGATTCTGTGGTCCTCTGAAATATCTGAATTAGGTTCCCTGTGTAACCCAGTCTGGAGTTCTCTGCATGTTATGGCATCCAAGGGAACAAAGCTGTCCCATCCTTCTGCCCGTGGCGTTCACAGCTCACTCCCTGAAAGAGCCTGTTCTGTCCTGGGAGCCTGGAGGGGCTGAGCAATGAAGGAAACACATTTGTAGGGTCATAAATTCCAAGTTCCATCGAGTGCCTTCAGCAAAGACAGAGAAGACAGCACAGCCCTGTCCCAGCCTCTGCTGAGACTGTCCTGGCAGGGCCTACAGCAGCCAGAGCTGGGAGAGCACAACCCACCCAGTGCTGAGGAACATGCTCAGTGAGAAGCTGTCAAGAGTTCAGTCTATATTTAGGGCAGGAATCTTTTCCAGCTCTAACCAGAGCACAACTTTCATCCCTTTAACATCAACTGCAACATGCTTAATACTTACTATTAACATACAAAGAGGACAGCAACAAAAAGACAGCAAAGATACAGACAGAGTAGTAAAGCCACAAGTTCAGCTGATTTTCCTTTAAGAAGGAAAAAGAGCTCAGCTAAAACTCTGGGGGGGATAAGAAGCTAAGATGCCACCCGAAAGAATGCAAAAGAGCAAAGCTGTCACCTCCTCCTTGACTTTTGCGTTTAAACAAGGATTTTATACTACAAACCAGATCAAATATCAGATTTTGCCTTCAGTTGCACCAAGGCATTTGGGTAAAAAGAGGTTACACTAACTCTGTGAACTCCAAGTAGCATCTAAAGGGCCCCAGTGTGTACTAGGCATACACAAAGAGCTCTAGTGAAATTAGTAAGAGTGGGAAAATTATTATCTTCAGGTTACTAATGGGATCTGAGGCAGAGTTTGAAAAGACTTCAAGCAAAATCAAACACAAAGTTGTGGCAGAGCCAGAAAATCCCTAATAATGATTTAATAGTGCCTAATAGTGACCTAGTAATACACTTCCACAAGTGCTCTGAGTCATTACTCTGGATGTGGCACTGAGGATCTGGTTTGGGATTTAGGGGTTCCAGCAGTGACAGGTTAACAGATGGACTTGATCTTAGATGTCTCCTCCAACCTTGATGGTTCTATGATTACAACTCAGTTTAAACGTGACTTAAATGCAAATTTAAAACAAACCACAAAAAATACTTCAGCTCATATTTCAAAAGAAAAAACACCCTATGATTAGTGACTTTATTATCAGTTAAGAAATAAGTCTAAAAAACCAAAAATATTCTCCATTTTTTTACTTACTTCTTCCATTAGCTTTTCATTCGGTGATCCCGAACAAAGACAGACCAGGTAGGTTTGCTTGAAATTGCCTTTTGCACTGATTTCTGGATGGTCAGAGCAGAGCTTGGCCAGGGCAGTGGCTTGTGCTAATTGCTTTGTTTTCATGAGGTGCTTAATACGCATATCCAGCAGGACAGGACCTTCAGACCCCACAAACTCATCCACTAGGGGAAACAAGAGCCAAAACATCATGTTCAGAGTACACAGTTAACACTTACTCATTCATGGGTGACCCCTAAAACTCAGACAAATGAAAACAGGCACAAAAGGTAAGAAGCAAAAGGGAGGAAGAGCATCTTTGTGGACTGTGCTTCTCCACCCTAAGGATCCCCTGCCACAGACCTTATCCCTACTTGCAGGTTTGAGCTCATTCTCACTTTTTGGCAAAAGAGCTGCCAACAAAACAGATTTTAAAAGCATATAAATATCAAAATATTCAGACATCATTTAATTCTGATTCTACAGAAAGACAACACAAAGTCACTTCTCTCATACCCTTTGCAACTTGTGCTGTGCTCTGCTCATGGTTGTGTTTCAGAGACCTTCTGGTAAAGGATGTAAGTGACAAGTGCTGAAGTGTTGTGGGTCCCAAAGGGCCTTGGCAG